GCAGCCAGTTGCTGACTCGAACTCCGCCTCTGTAGTTCCAACGACGGCCCCTCTGCGTTGCTTGTCCTTGCTCGCCCGCCTTGCTTGCCAGGCCACGACGAACGGAAGCCTTGGGTCGGATGCTGACAAAGCAGAACCGTGCTTTTGGTCTGTGCCGTGAAGAACCTCCTTCACACAGTCTTGGCCCTCTGCGGCACGGAACTCCTTATACACTGCATGGGTTTTAGACCCCGACTCCCATCGCATCATGGTTGATCTGAACTCGTTGGTAGGGACGACAGCACTCTTGCCAAAGCAGCGTTGGCATGCCTTGAATGTTCCAGTTGTTGGAACGGCTACCTCTCCCTTGCCCGCAGGACTCATTGTGATTCCGCTCTCTCCGTAAGCTACCTCTATCTTTGTTCTCTTCGGTACCAGCTTCTTTGCCTCCTTCAGAACTCGGCTGAAGAAGGAGTCTAGCGCCTTGCGCTTGCCTATGTACCCTTGAAAGCTGGCCATGGCCTCCTGCCTAGACAGCGCCCGCTCCCACCACTCGTTCATGCAGTGCTGTGAGTCCGCTATGTACCGAAGAACCGTGCCTGACTGTGCTGTCCTGAGGGCACACCCCGGAACTGCCAGCGCCTGGAAGGCGGGTTGCAGTGGGGCATCACGCTGTGCCTTCTTGATGGTGGAGGTTCGAATGCCCGACTTATGCTGATACTCCCCGCGTAAGAGGGACCAGCTGTGGCGGTTCAGCTTCTCACCGAGCTTTAGCTTCCCTGTGCTATCGAGGGTGTACTGTGTCACAACAGACACCGTTGCCAGGCTGCAGCGGCCTGGATCCAACCCTAGCGTGAGCACGCCCTCCTCAGGGTCGTACATGTCGAGGTTCTGGTCGTATGCATCTGTCGCAACGTTACTGCTGCGCATGCCTGCCGAGCGCTTGCGCTTTGCGGTCACTGCCTTTGATGGCTTTGAGTACTGGAGGCTGACCGCAACACCGTCCGTTGAGATGCTGCAGTCAAACTTGTACCCATTCTTGACTGGCAGGCACCGGAAGAAGGACTTGACGACCCTGTCCTCTGTCTCTGACAGTGCCCGGTGCCTTGCCTGCTGAGACCTGTACGCGTCGGTGTTTCTGATCCTGCTGCAGGCGCTTTGGTACTGTGCAAGGAGCGCCTTGTCTGTGGTGCCATCGGGAGGCTTCGGGGGCAGCATGTACGTGTCTGGGTGCGCGCTGCCGGGCAGGCCACACTTCTCCAGGAATGCGTCCTGGTTCCAGAATGATTTCATGAGCTTGACGTTGTGATCATTGGGAAAGAGGGAGCAGAAGATGTGGAGAAGGCTTTTCGTGTCGAGGCGGACATGCGAACGCTTGACTGCAAACACAGGCATCAGCCTCATTTTCTTCTGGTGTAGGGACTCAAACTGCTTCTGCATCCAAAAGTTGAACTGCATGGCAGCCTGGAACGTCATCTTCTTCTTGGCGTGGTCGTCCCACAGGTACTTGTTTTCGTGCGCAGAAAGCAGCTCGTCCTGCCGGGCTTGCAGTGCATGCCCGTTCAAGGAGCCGTACATTGTGCTGCCCGCTGCATCCAGCAGCTTTGCCCTGGCATTTTTTATGTATGCCACGACGTAAGCAGGCCATGCAGGTATCGGCTTGCCGCTGCGGATGAGTTGCACGACAGCATGCGCCTTGGACCAAGGTGTCTTCTTGTGGTGGTGCTTCTTGCACATCTGGTGCATGTAGGCCTTTGTCAGG